ATACGTTTTGAGAGCGACACACATTGCTGATCATTCCGCAGAAGCGTGAGCCCTCCTTCGGACATAGCGCTTGCCGATATTCGGGTCGAAGCTGAATGGGAACAAGACCAATGATAGCAGCACAAACACAACTCGTCGACAACCAGCATTGAGAGCGAACTAACCTCGTCACCGCACACCACCTTAAAAATGATGCTGCTAGACAATGTGAAGTCTTGACCGAACTAGCTTAGGCGCCTTCATGAATGCGCTCCTACAGCAAGTGTGAAACCACGTAATCATTGTAACAGAAGTTCCCGACAAAGTCCACGGGTTTGCAATGACGCTCAGACCACTACGCCAAGAGGGGGCTCATGCAAGTCGTTTCATTGCCGGTCAAGAGAGCTCCGTGACGCGTGAGATCAGTGATGCTCGAGATCTTCTAGGAATTATACAGAGGCTGGTAACCCGATTGAGCTTCGCCAAAATATTTCAGCGAGTCGCGAATGAACGGTTGTCAGCGCGAATCACAACATACCTAGCTGACAACCTGGCACGTGTCTACTTCTCGGTTTAATGAGCAGCACATTGATGCTAATTATGAATCTTGTACTGTAGAACAGCAAGCTCAAGTGCCCGACATCGTCTTCCGCTGTTGTCGCTCGCCATGTGTTGAGAACAACACATTCACGCTCGAAGCGGTTGCGCAAATCATATAAGAGATCTTTTAAGCGAAATGAATGTGGTGGTCGACTTGATGGCAATGTACGCTAGACTGCTCTGTCAGTTGCAAACGATGATTCGCACCGAGCGCTTCATCTCGACGTCGTAAAATAATCCAGCCCCTCTCGTAGTCCTCGCATGAAATTGAGCTTTGAAAGTCGTAATTAAACACACTGTGTTAGCATTTTACTTTCCAAAGGGAGTCCCTAATTCAAACAAACGCAGCCGCAACGTCCCACTAGCAGTAATCCCGGCTATTTAGATACGTAAAGGTTCGCGAGCGCAGGTCGTGCAGCCTAGAACCTGTATACATTGGACGTGCTGGACAGCGCAAGACCCACCCAAACAGTTCGGTCAATCGTAAGCTCAACACATCGTGATTGATGTTACCTCTTATGATTATCGGGGAAGTAAAAATGCATATCTGCAGTAGAAAAAGTATGATCAAACCTTCAATCCGATACCAGAAACAGTGAGCCACACCTCCAGAATATCTACCTGTTGAACCCAGCACCAGAAAACCCAGTCTACTTGCTATTAGACCAGGATTCGTGACCATATAGTACTCCCATAGCCAAATAACAGTAGTGCGATAAAACGTAAATCATAAAAGGCCCGGCTGCCAAGGAAACTCTAAGTTTTTCAACTAGGTCATTGGGTTATTCGATCGTCGTCGCGTTCTAGCAGGATCTTGTTCGACGCCTACTCTGCGTATAACATCGAGATCGCTTGCCACACTCGGCGTACTAGCATAAAGTTGATTGAATAACGAACCCTGTTGAAACAGGCTACATGCTAGCCACGAAGTAGCATTTGTGCAGCCTATCGCGCTTTCGACTGAACTCTGCAAAGGTAGCATATCGCGCTATGCGTTGACATCTCGCTGCTAGGGGGTGGGAGCGACAACTCGGACAGTTCCTGAGTGGCCCAAAGTCCACAACATATCTCGAGACCAATCCGCAACATCCACGTTCTCCGAAGCAATCACATAGCGACCCCCAACTTCCACATCGTCGATTTGCAGAGCTGTCCAATCGGTGCCTGGATCTGGGTAGTGACAGCCTGACGGTACATGACCGTCACACAATGTAAACGCGATTTTTAACGCTGCGGCAGCATTCCCCTCTCTCAAAGGTTCACGTAGCTGGGCGAAAAAGTAGTCCATTTCGTAGCTCTTGAATGACCCCGATACGTACGTCTCGATCGCCGGGATGACATTCTTTTCCCAGTACTCCAGCATCTTGTTTCGCCCTGAATGTTGCGGCAGGTCACTGCGTCCGGAAAACGCGTACAGGTTATAGAAATATTCAGAAGGCTCGGGCACGGACAGTGCTCCATCACTAACAACTGACGAGAACGCAGACGAATCTTCAGGCGCCAATGTTGTGGGTCGAGGAACGCAAGTTTTATCGTCGCCGACAGAGAACGAACTTGACGAAATCGGTCGTGTCGCGAGCGAGAAGTGCACGTCTCGTGAGCGTAGCCACTCCATATTCCACAATAATCCACGCATGTCGGCGATATCTTCCACTTTCAAGTCACGTACGCACAATTGTGCAAGCTGAAAAAGAATGGCAGGGCAGTTTCCGTTCGTCTGTAACATTCAAACACGCAATATTTTTGTCAGCGTATCCATCAAAAACAGCACATGGTACACAAAAGATACGTACTGAGATCACTTGGTTGTCGAAAAGCGAGGGCCATGAAGGGGCCATGGCAGAAAATGACTGAACGAGAGCGCAAGCTAACTCCCAACGTAGCAGAGATCCTGCAGTGGGCGTGGCGATCTTCATCCATGTCATCGCTTTTGCCATCCAGACGTTCAACTCGTAAAACTGGTTGTTACCACAGTCGCAAAATGGAAACAGCGAAGAAGGTTTCCAGGTATTTCAACCGGAATTCTCTTGTCAAGAAGCGACGCTGGCTGGACCAGCCTTGGCCCTCTTACAGGTTAGAGCGAATTTGGCGGAAACGCAAAATATTCATCCTG